TGTCTCTGTGCGAGTTTGTTTATGTCCTCGTCTGTCTTTGGTATATTTCGTTTTTTTGTNTGTTGCCCTCTCCCCCGTTTGCTGTCGCGTTCAGACTGTCTCTACGGATAGTCCTGTCTCTGTGTGAGTTTGTTCATGTCCTCGTCTGTCCTTGGTTTATTTCGTTTTATTTTTTTTTTATTTTTTTATTTTTCCAAATACAACACAACGAGTCCATCTCCGTCAGAGAAAAGAGTCAAAGACAGATTAGCAATGGAATCATAGCGTCAAAGAAAACTACCTGTTGTGTGTCCACGATTTCCCAGACAGCATATATGGNTGGATTAGTACGGAGAGATTGAGACAGAAGGAGGTACTGGATAGAGAGACCAGGATGGTTTTTAATGTGAAGACAACAACAACAACAACAACAACAACCGCGTATGACACAAGATAACGTACCCCCCTGGACCAATTTCAAAGCTCGATTACTCCACGAAGAGGATGCATAAATGAAACGATACATTTTCGAAACGCTCTCGACAAGACGGTTCCAACGCCACCGTTTTCGGCGCTGTGACTGTTCCTGCAGTTGAGAAATCGAGCTTCGAAAATTGGTCAAGGGGGGTGTGTTATCTTGTGTCATATACGGTAAACGGGCCAATGAAGGAACCTCTCGCGCCAACAGCTCCATCTCGGGCGTGAGAACGAATTTCAAGTGTTTTTGATAATCGGACGATAGGGTTCATTATAGGCTACCTCTCTACAAAAAAACAAATCATAAGTAAGGGCAGATGAGATTGAGCTGATTGATGCAGTGCACCTCCTCCGTGTCTAACGAAATATGGTGGAACCCCCCTCCCCCCCCCCCCGGTGTTTGCCATCGGGGTTGGGTTTTCGTCGCTGGGCAAAGACGTTGTAAAACAAGCCAATTNCTTCGTGAACTCGGCAACCAGGTTACCGCTTTTTTTTACCTCCGTTTTTTTTTTTGGCGGTAACCATTATGATAATGGTGGTCGAGTAGATCATGTTGTGCGGGGTGGAGAACCCTCGCTCCGCGCAAGGGGGATGATCGCACCACGTTGTGTTAAAATGGTCAAGCACCCTCGAGGCAGTTACACAGTGCTTACAACTGTCTCTGGAAGTGAAAGCACCAGAAAATAAATTAATTCATACGCAGCTGTCATCCGTACGCAAGGAAGTAAGCACAAGATGCCGAAAACCCTTAGCAGGATGCAGCGCACCCTTCATGCGACTCGCCGAATATCTCACGGCGCTTCGCGCTTGGTGATGTGAGAGCCTGGTCCGGTGAGAACCCGGCGTGCTCCGTCCCGGCTTTGTAGGGATGCGAGGTCAATGGTCTAACGACTACGGCATGCACGACTATGAGTACACCCCCCCCCCCATTAAGTCGCAAGCAAGGCAAAGGAGAACTTTGGACAAATTGGGGAAGAGTCCAGAGGTTCAGTAGGAAGGGAAAAGTTGTCATGGTGGGCGATTTCAACTCCAGAGTACGGAAAGCTTCCAGTAGAGGACAGGCGATCGGGTAGCACGGAGAAGACAAAGTGAATGACAACGGAGTGAGGATGCTTGAGTTCTTGGGAAGCAACGAACTGATAGTGTTGAACGGTAGGAAGGAATAATGCGATAAGCCCGAGTTCACCAGGCAACGGGCAGTTTGCAATGAATACTCGATCCTCGACTACATCCTGGTATAGGGGGAGCGCACATATCCCAGAGCTGCACGTAAGTACAATAGATATAGGTTCGACCGACCACTTCCTCATATGGGCAAACATCGACCGATCTAGAAAGTAGGAGAGTAAGAAACGGAGGAAAGTGTTCCGGTGGAAAGTAGAGCGTTTGGGAGACGAGGGGACACGGGATGAATTCCAGAAGGGACTGGCTGGTAGAGTAGAACCCTTCAGGAAACTGCTGAGAAGCGGCGAAGACGGACAGACAGGTAGACGTACAAGCAGCAGGGGACAAGGCGATTGAAAGGTGGGAGTCCATCGTGAACGCAACGGCAGGTAGAGTAGTGGGAAAGGAGGTGGTACGATGTGGGGTGTCGGTTAAGTGGTGGGATAACGAGCTGAAAGAAGAAATAGGGGAACGTAGAGAAGTCTTCAAGCAGTACCTGAGTGAGGCGTCTGAGGAGAGTTGGGAAAAGTACAGGGCCACGAAAAATCAGGTGGAGGGACTAATAGGTACGAAAATAGGCCGTGCGAAAACGCGCGCTCTAGCCGGCTTGTAAGCGTTCGGTTTCTGTTCCCGACGTTTGACATCTCGTACCCGCGGGTCGTCGTATTTAACGGATGGATTCATCCAAGTGAAGCATCGGCCTGTTCAACCACCAGCAACGACGCGCGAAATATTGCATTGAAACATGGGGGGGGTGTACTCATAGTCGTGCATGCCGTAGTCGTCAGACCGTTGACCTCGCATCCCTACAAAGCCGGGACGGAGCACGCCGGGTTCTCACCGGACCAGGCTCTCACATCACCAAGCGCGAAGCGCCGTGAGATATTCGGCGAGTCGCATGAAGGGTGCGCTGCATCCTGCTAAGGGTGTTCGGCATCTTGTGCTTACTTCCTTGCGTACGGATGACAGCTGCGTATGACTTAATTTATTTTCTGGTGCTTTCACTTCCAGAGACAGTTGTAAGCACTGTGTAACTGCCTCGAGGGTGCTTGACCATTTTAACACAACGTGGTGCGATCATCCCCCTTGCGCGGAGTGAGGGTTCTCCACCCCGCACAACATGATCTACTCGACCACCATTATTGTTACCGCCAAAAAAAAAAACAGAGGAAAAAAAGGAAAACGGTAACCTGGTTGCCGTGTTCACGAAGTGAATTGGCTTGTTTTACAACGTCGTTGCCAAGCGACGAAAACCCAACCCCGATGGCAAACACCGGGGGAGGACATGGGGGTTAGAATAAATCAGACCACAACAATCTTTCGGTAGGATGTGGGGATCTGACTTTTTAAAATAATGCCCATAACGACATCCCCAACCCCAAGCCAGGTATCTCAAGGAACGGTACATGCACCTGCCTGAAGAACTAGCCAGGTCTCAGTTCCAGGCGTCGGTGACGAGATCCGCAGTACCGTCATCTGTTTCTCCGTCACTCCAGGCCGGGTCGACGCTCTTCTCACTCAACCCGTCAGATTCCCCATCGCTAGAGCCAGTTTCACCCGAATCCAACTGTATCTAATCGTCGAGTGCACCGACCGAACCGTCGCTGTTCTCGTTCGACTCGGGGTCCTGCAGATCTGCGTTCTTCGACTCCGCCGCCTCTCAGGAGGAAACGTCGTTGCTCGCAGGTGACTCGGGGGTCCCCGCCTCCACGTGGCTCTGTTCCGCTCCGTGCGATTACTTCTGCTTCATAGAGGCGACAAGGAGTGCTATGGAATTGGCAACACGCAAGGATGGCTGCGGTCGAGTGTCGATGGGTAGTTGGGGTCGGGCGACACCCTCGATCGGACCCTCGATCGGCCCAGTTTGAAAAGTACCCACCGTAGGCCGGGACGCAGACCTCCCCCCTGCTCGTACGTGTGCCGGCGCAGCCCGACGTAGGGTACAACGACTTATGCGGCCGCAAGCGAGCGAGCACTTTCTGTCCTTGCACCTGCACCTGTTGCACAGGGCCGTGTCCGGATTGCAACCGCACGCCAGCGTGACTGTCTTGCGGTTAGGGCCGATGTAAGAATACTCGGACAGCCAAAGCACGCAGTTCTCGGCTATGAGTTCGTCGCTGTCGCTCCCCTTCCCTCGTGGGTCGACGCCCCATCCTTCGTAGGCAAACTCTGTCGTCGGCATGGCCTCCCTCAGGCCATTCTGCCAGTACCGAAAGATGGCGTTACCCCGTTCTGCCTGCTTGCACAAGGCAAAAGAAGACGGACAGGTGGCTGTCGTCTTCTTCTTGGGGAGTTGTAGGATGTCGTAGCGGACCAAGCTCACGTAGTCCTCGACGTCTCCGTCGACGCTTTCGAGCAGCTGGGCTGGACTTAAATGAGCACTGCCAAACGCCGCTTCATCCTTGTAGAAGAACATGGTCGCCAATTGTTTCGCGCATTCGTCGACATCCATGGCCCACGTGCCGTCCTGCTCCTCGAAGAACAGCGGTTTGTCAAACAAACCCTCCGTCCGCATGCTCTTGAGGACGAGTACCCACATCTTGTCGAACGGCAGCCCGGAAATTGCCGGGAGGTAGTCACAGCCCGACTCCAGGAAGGTTTGGATAAACAGACGAACCTTGTCGGCGTCCGTGGGATCCCAGCTCCTGAAGGTTACAGGTGGCCACGCGGACCCGCTTCCGTCCTGGAGTTCGCAGATACTGGCGAACACTCTGTTCATCCACAGGAACTTGGTCTCGCCACCCACGACCCTCTGGACGGTCACGTCAACCGCACCCTCGCCACGCGGCGGGAGCCAACCAGTGGGCATCGCCAGTAGGATGGTCATCCATAGGTCCGTGTTTACCGATGAAACGACCCACTCGTCGAACGTTTTTCCCCGAGTACTTCATCGCCCGGGCGATGAAGTGTATCACGGAGAGTTCCGCCTCGCCGATGTCTGGCCCTCGGTGCCGCTCGACGTCAGAGATCGGGTCGGTTCCGTCCCGAAAATGTAGGAGTGGTACAGTTTCAGCAAGCGCCTCCGTGGTACCTACTCCCATTCCGAGGCCTACATCGGCATCTACACCCGCTGGATTATCAGCACTCAGGCTAGGTTCACCTCCGACGCCGTAGAATGCGACGATTCCGTTGGGCTTGGTGTCGGCGGTCCAGACATCATCAGCCAGCACGCGCATGACCAGGTTGGTGGCGATTCCGTCCCGCGCCGCCTTAACATCGGTTCGAAGCCATGACCCATACTGCAACGAAGGAACCGGATTCGTTGACTTCGGGTCGAAGGTCCGAGAGCACTCTTCAAGTTTCTCCGTCATCCCAAGCTGCTCGTGTCCTTGGATTGCCGGTACTAGTTCTTGGCGGTCGTAGCACACAACGAGCAGCTCCGTCGACTTCAACCACTTCGACAAGAGCTTCTTCTTGAAGTAGTCGATTATCCCCGCGGTTCCCTTCTCGAGGTTTTCTGGGTGCACCCCTTGGTGGATTGACACGGGCAGATCCACGCCATGAGCGTCGGCGTCGTAAAACGGGTCGACTGCGAACCCGTCGGCACAGTGCTCTCTGACCCATTCAACGGACCTGCCGCCTTGTTGGCGTGCTTGGTTCCTGTTACGTTAAAATGAGATATTTCAACAGGTGTGTGGGGGTGTGGGGGAGGGACGGAACACGTGGATAAACACTCAGATGCACGGGTGTGGAGAGCAGGTGAACTTCGGCTGGGAGCGAAATCTCGAGACGCCTTTCCCTGCTTAATCTGTCTAGTCGGACTAACCGGCTACAATGTCAACAAATAAATACTTCGCTTAAAATGCGCACGCTTCCTCCCTCACCTCCCGTCGCGTTGGCCATGCTGTACGCTCCTATGGACCCCACCATTTGCAGCATCTGATCTTGTTTCACCACACCTCCGCCTTCTCTGGCCGGATCAAGCATGTTCAGTGCGAGTTGAGAATCTCTTGCCACTTGACCGGCGGAAAGACTCTCCCGTCCAAGGCCACGACTTTGTCTTTGCCATCATCGCCTTTGGATGCCGGGCTCTCTCTCAAGCAGTCGATCGCCGCCCTGACTGCTGGCGCACGTTTCACCGACAACTCCCTGCAACGGTCCCTTTCCGTGCGTGGTTTCTCGACGAAATGCGATTCGAAGTCCAATATGGCGACTTCATGCATGCAGCTGGGCAATCGGTGCCAGCTTTTCTATCGTGCTCGAAAGGATCCTTTTCGTCAGCGTCTTGTAGAGACGATTGTCCACCCCCTGCCTCTCGTCCAAGCCGATTCGTGCAAACGTATCAGGGCCGAGTGAGACGGAGAATAGCTCGGACAGGACTCTCATATCATTGCGCAAATAACGCGACACCTCCGTCAGGTAATCTACGACGAGGAACTGGTACTTGTCTTTGCCGGTGATGTAAAAGATGGGGGCGATACGGCGAAGGGCATCAAGCTTCAACCTGAAGTTACCCGTGCGCAGGGCAGTGCGGAAGGCGATGTACGCAGGGTAGTCGCGGAGGAACTGCTTCCACACAGCGAAAGGGTTATGAGCCTTCGCCCGCGGCTCTATCCACCGAATCACCCCGTCGACCACCTCGTCATCTTCCACTGGCCTGTAACCTCGCGTCGGAGATCCCTTCAAGTATTCCTCGCGACACAGAGCCATAAACGCGACCAAACCGCCGTGATGTGGTGGTGCGCCCGACGGTAGTTGCTCCCCTCCCCCGACTTCGAGCCGACTGTGCCCAAATTCTTCGCCACGAACTCCACGCCAGCACCCCAGCGTGCCTTCCGTAAGCTGGCGAAGGGTTAATATTGGCTGTGTACCCCCGCTTCCGGGTGTCCCAGAGCTCCCAGGCTGGTTACGAGGCATAGCCGGTGGCGTAGCCGGTCGACCTATGGGGCTGTTAACCCCACGAGCCTGTTTGCCTCGTCTACCTCTCCGACGGGTCATCTGGCAGCTCGATCTATGCCGACCGTTATTCTATGCATTAAATACCTGAACAGGGTATGAAGCAACAAATACAGAATGTTAAGTGACACGTAGAGCTTACGTTGTGCACACATATCTTAGATCTGGACTCTTCGTTGTCTCTTGAAAGCCGTGCGAAAGATCTGCTGCTCTGTACGGGCATGCCTGTGCAACTCTGTCGAACTCCGCAGTACAATTACTGGTTCTGTAATGCAGCGGCGTTTAACTCTATATGCACGGTCTGGAGTGTACGTAGCTGTGCGTCCCGGGTCATGCTTGGCTCGTCATATCACTTGGGGTGGGGATGGTGTATCCAGTGGATGTACATGCGGAACATGCAAGAGAGGTTACTATCGGACCCCCGCGTGGGCTCTCCTGAAATTTGAATTTTGAACACATCATGCTTATCCCCTGCAACACCGAATCGTCTCAAACCTTTTGCATTAGGTAGCAATGGAATCTAGAAACATGGCGGCGGCATTTTTAGTCTGTAAAACGCCAACCTCGCGCAGAGGTCGGTTCGCGTGTGAAGCTCCCTCCCTGATCTTGGGCTGTTGCAGTGTGGTACGCGCCTGCTGCAGTCCGACTTTCTCGCCCTACCATGCATGTCTGGACGTATAAAACATACCCTGCTGTGCTCTAGCATCATTTATACATAACTCTCTTGGAAATTGGGCAGTTTAGCCTCTCGCTCGCCCTCTAAAGCTGGTGCTGGGTGTGGAGGTCTGTTGCCGAGGGAGCGGCCCGGTCGGAGGGGTTTCCATACGGGGCTCCTTTCCCGTTAGAAGCGTTTTTCTCATACATGTTGATTTTTTTTTCAGCTGTGCAGCGCTGAGTTGAAGTAGCGGTTGCAAGGGGGGCGAAGTGACGTACCGCCGCTTCGTCGTACCCATTCCCTTGAACCCCCAAGGAGAGAGGAGAGAGCAACCGCGCATCGCACACCAGGTAGCACTTGATCATCGTCTGCAGTGTGTGTGGGTGAAGCACAGAAGCAGTTGGTTCTGCTAGTCGGCAGCATGGCTGTTCTTGCTGATCCCGTCAGGTGAGGTGTCGTGGGCTTGTTCATTGTTGGTGCTTTGGACACAGGTTAGTCCGCATTTTTTTCGTGTTTCAGCTGGAGAGTGACTCTGCACATGCCGGATGCCACAGCGTACCGCTGGCTCTCGTCGCTTCTGTCTGCGAAAACAGGGTAGCTCACATATGCAATAGCTCACTCCTCAAGAAAGATGCAAATTGACAATTATTACGACTGTCGGCACGCACTTTTGTCCTCGTTGTTGAGATCAGCCACCCGCGTGGACTACAACATGCTTGCACATGCTTCCAAGGCGTGCGTGTCAAACGCATGCATACAGCTGTGCTCTGCACACGGGCAGGGACCCGAGAAGCGGCAACCAAAGGGAAGGCGTTTCGTGGTACCAGCGCAACCACTGCGGCTGTGCCCTCTGTATTTCCCCATCCGAAGACTTGCTACACCTTCGAGGTACAACGCTCTATTTTATTTTTTCTACACTTCGCCTATGCAACGAATCAACGAATCCAGCTCTATCCTTTATCCACAGGTAAGATTCCGGGATGATGGAAACAGCGTTTCACCGCCATATTTTGGTTCTAGCGCCTTCCGCCAAAGCCGTTACCGCCGAAACACGCATTACCGCAGTGCTTTTCGTAGCTCGAGAACAACCCTCTGCCCAACTCTTATCTGTTGCGTCGGCGCTGCCTGCATACGCCCCCGGATCATTAAAACCCTACCATTTGAGATTGGAAACGACTTGCCATTTAGCGAAACCGCAGCTTGTCCTTTTTCAGGGCATCCGCTCCCTGGCGCGTGGTGATCATCGTGCCTGGTCAAAACCTGCGCGTGTCCTCTATGAGATCGATCGCATCTCAGTTGGACCTGAACCGTATAACCCTCATCTCGCCGACCTTAGGCGGATCACAGGGCAGAAGGTGGCATCGAGAGGTGTCAACTACCCCCTCCTCGGCCTAGCGTTGATAGGGCTGGCCGTTGCAAAGCTCGCGACGGTGTACTGGGAGATGGAGCAGCGGGTGCCTAAGACGTCCTTCGGGACGGAAGGGTGAGATTGCGGCGAGTGTAGGGTGAGATTGCGGCGACTTCAGGGTGAGATGGCGGCGAGGTTCTCAGGCAGGCTCACCACTGCTGCTGCTCTTGAAACGCGTTCTGCTGTGACCGCAATGCTGTATGATAACTCGTCATGCCTAGGTCCGCAGCCGCCGCGCCCCGCACTCGCGAGCTTGCTGCAAGCGCCTGCTTGCAGCTGTGTACCATCTTGTCCGCGTGTAGGTTTGCGACCCTCTTGCGTACTTATTGCCGGCGTTTGTCGTCCGTCACAACTTTTTACCCACCTCGCCCTTACCGATTCCTCCAATGCATAACGATTCCCTTCCAGGTGCACTCGTTATCGGGACATGATGTCCCCCGAGGACATAATTCCGATCTTCGAAGGCGTGTTCGTAGCCTCCAGCGACGAGCGCAGGCAGACCATCATGCAGTCTATCGGGGCTGAGGCTGCACCCTGGGGCGACCTGTTCGCCATCTGGGACGTCGACACTCCTGGGCAGGTATACGCATAGTGTCCCACACGCACTGGTGCCATTTCGTTTTTACTCCCCCAAGCCCAACATTTTAGTGTTTTCCCCTCCAGCATGATTCTCAAGTTTTTTTCACCGATCCAATCGAGTGTCTGTGCAGGTAGTTCCCGTTCAATCCGAGCTGTTGACACCTGTGACGTATCCTAAGCTATCCCCGTTTCAGGAGGAAAAATGTATTACATCTGTGTTTTCAGATCGTTCACAGTGGAGACGGACTGTTCGGGGAGCCGTTCGACTGTTTTTCCTGTGACTATCGACTGTTGACCTGTTCAGAGCAGAAGTCGAGCGCTTCGCTTGAAAATAACGACCAAATTAACGCACGTCAGAAGGCACTAACTACTGCTATGTAGGTGTGCTTGCCACACGTTCGGCGCATAGAAAACACCAATAGAAATGGAAATATCCAATCCATGATCCATCTAGGAAGATGAGAGAAGAGGTATAGTAAGATGCATGTTGCACTCATTATCGTGGCGCTAACCATGCCCCACCCCGGCCCCTCCCGTTGATCCTCTCCTCGGTGTGATCGCGCAATGCCCACCACGACGCCCGTCTGGCCCACAGGACCCCAAATCAGCGGTGCTGGAAATCGAAGGGTTTCCAGAGGGGAATGCGTTTCACCCCCACGGCATGCACTACCGCGCGGAAACTGGGGAGCTGTTCGTGGTGAACCATGCCTACTCCCAGGGAGGGGAGCGGATAGACGTGTTCAAGGTGTCGGAGACCTTCCCACAGGACGCCCTGCCGTCTGTGCACCCTTCCCTGCTGGAGTCAACGCCGCCACAGGAGGAGGACGAGGAGGGTAAGTCCGACGTTGTTGACATCGGCGTGGCGACTGCGCTGCTGGGTGACGATGACGCTGACGAAGGTGTTCAAGATGAAGGAGGCGACGGGTTGGGGGGAGAAGCGACGGTTGACGAGCACGAGGGTGGGGGTGGGGTTTCATTGTCAGTGGAAGAAAGCGGCAACGGCGGAGCATCAGACGATCTCTCTGCGGAGAACGAGGTCGTGAGTGATAAGGCCGATCCTCCCGTCGAGGAGGAGAAGGAGGAGGAGGAGGAGGTTGTCGAGAGCCCGAAGGAGATGGCCAAGCGGCTCAAGAGGGAGGCGAAGGAGGCGGCGGGCAGAGCCAAGGCGGAGGAGAAGCAACGCCTCGCGAACGAGAGAGCGGCCGCCAAGGTATGTTTATTGCGGGTTGGTTGTCAGCAACCTTACACATTGGGGGAGGGTGTCTTCATGTTGATGTTATGGGCGGATACATGGTACCGTCACGAGAGAGAATCCCAACTTTTGGAGGCAAGATCTGAACAATACGGAACGTGTGCCGTGGATCACCGAAGCGGGGCGTGACGCCCACAGGAGTTTGTGGTGGCTGTTTAGCGGTTCCGCGAACCATGTTGCGGTTTTCGTCTGGAGTAGTTTCGTCTCCGATCCCAGATACTTGTTGCTCACTATGCCACCAAGCCATAACACATCTCACGCATCGCCATCCCGAGAGGCCTGCTTCTTCCCCCCCTACCTCAAGCGTAAGACTGGTTATTTTGCCACTCAGCATGCACACAACCATAGCCAAGCATCAAAGTTCACGTCGATCATGCTACAGTGGGTTGTCGATTCCCGTGTCCCCTATCACGTCCTATGGAGACACCGTCTGCCACGCGCACTCGACGACACATGTGTGCCTAGCGTTTGTAGCCGGGTTCTTTGAGTCGTCCGGACCTTCGGCTGAAGCAGAGGGCACCCTAAGTCGTGGTCCACAAAAGTTTCAATAACGGGCAGGTTAGTTGAAGGAGTGAACCACGCAAACCAAGCTTTATGAAAACCATTCGAATTGCCATGGCGTTTTTATAGGGGTATGCGGGATAACACTACTCGTAGCATGGGCCGAGAGGAGTTGCGTTCTGCCAAAACCACCTCGAGTTTGTGGTCTCCTTGCCTACCTAAACGGGAAAAGAAGGCGTACCGCTCTAAAACATGATGCATTTTCCCCTGGCACACACTTATTTATCGAGGCTGGAAAACAAGTCGCAAAACCCTCCCGGCACACCCCACACAAAACAAATCGCACAGATTTCTCCGAAAAAAAAAAGCCTGCCTGCTCACACAATCCGAATCCGCGTTGTTCGTCCTGTGCCGTAGGCAGCCGCTGCGGCGAAGGCGGCGAGGGCGAAGGGCCTAGCCAAAGGGCAGACCCCGATCACGCTGACCTATTCCTTCTCGGTGGAGCACGAGCTCATCACAACCAACTTTGGGGTGCTGAACGACCTCGTCCTCGTGGACGATGACGAGCTGTACGTGACGCAGTTCCTGGCGATGCGGCACCCGTTGCACGGCCCCACACAGCCAGACGGGGTCCTGGAGCACCTCCGACTCTACGGCTCCATCCTGCTCCTGATGCTGCAGATCAGCCCGGCACCCATCATCCGTTGCACCGGTAGGCAAGAAAAGGGTTGCCCCCCCGTGTATGTACCCCCTTTTTTTTTCCCGGTGTACGGACCATACATGGGGGCCCCGGCGATAGGGTGCGTGGGTATGTACCGTGGTTTTTCCGCTGCCGCAGCCCCCTTGTTTTTCTTCCTGGACGTTGTCGTACGTTCTCTATGATGATAGCTTTCACGGCAGCGTCGTGCGGCCCCACACCGCTCTTAAGTGCCTCTGAACGCACCGGTTTCTTCAATGGCGGCGCCGAGTAAGCGTCTCGTGGTTTTTCGTCTCTGTTCTTACGTATGAAGTGACTATGCCTTCGCCTTAGTTATCCGTCTCGCCGCATGCCGAGCGCGAACACGCAAAGCACCTTCATTACTACTTTTCGATAGAGTTGTTCTCAGTGGGGAGCCCACGTCAACTGTTGGATCTCGCGTGAAAGTCACACCGCACAATCCAGGCGGCAGTGGCACATTCTCGCGTCGGGTGTGCGGAGGCGTTTTTACCCGGTTTCTTGGTCGTGCTTGGCTCTCGTGTTGTTGGACAGGGATTCGTGGGGCCGACATCGACTGCGAGCGCCTAGCGAAGGGGAGGGGCGCGATGTACAACGGCATCGCGGTGCGTCACAAGCGTCATATCAGAATTGGCAGTCACGATGATGGGGCAACGGTTGGTACATACCACACGCGTGCACGAACGGTGTCGTGCTCACTGCTGCGGTTTGCGGTTTGCGGTACGGGCTGCAGTTTTTCGTACCGCTGATGATGCCGGGATGGAATGGCTTCGTGTGACGGTTGACGGAAATTACGGAATACCATTCCAAGGACACCCCCCCTCGGGGTAGGCCTACCGCCTTCCTTCTCGCATGGTGTGATCGGTTAGTACCCTCCCTCCCCCCCACCCTGTCTCTCTGTTTTGCACCCCCGCCTGAGAGAGCAGATAAGCCCGAACGGAGAACGTCTCCTGGTGTCAGACACGGTGGCGATGCAGATGCTCATTTTCAACCGCTCCGTGGAGACGGGAGCGCTCAGACTACGACAGCGGCTAGACCTCCCTGGGTCTCCGGATAACGTCGAGATCGATCTATTCAGAGGTGGGTGTCTATCTACCTTTAGCCTACACGGGACTCCCTATTAAGTGTCAACCCCGCTTCTGCTTGTTTTGCCGTGTGTAGGTGTCTCGCCCAACAGGAAGCCCTCTCGCGCGCGGATTGAAAGTTTTGGAAGTCTTGGTCTTTGGACAGGCCCTTGTAACCTCTTTTACGGCGCAACCAAAGGCTCGTCCGCAACCAAAGGCTCGTTCGAGATAACATCGGCATGTGCTCGAGAATCACCAAAGGGACTCAGGGGGGCAGCCGTCCTTGCAGCAATGTTCGAGCGCTGGATTAATGGGCTCCCCCCGCTGTCATAGGCTTCCCCTGTTTCTGTCTTGTGTACGCGTGTGGGGTCACATTTATTACGCTAGGACCTAAGACCCATGTTTATGGTTTCAAACTGTTAATGTTGTCAAACATTTGCGCGCGAAAATATGCCAAAGGAACATTTGAGTATCGCTTCTATGAGCAAAAATATCTTATCATTTGGTTTTCTCGGAATGCATCAGAAGTGCGGCGGGAATCGTGGTCTACTGCTACCAAACGATTTGTGACAGACCACAAATTCGTCAAGGAAAACTGAATGTAACGAGCTCGCAAAGGTCACTCGACAACCCTTGATGCACTGAGCTGATACTGTGCCCGCCATATTTGGCGATAGCGCTCCGGGCGTGCGAGAAAAATGTCCCCGGTGTAAAAAAAGAGACCAAAACGTGCGTCAGCGCTTCCCAACGACAAAAAGTCGGCCGCTTGAGAGGAGACGTGAGTACAAAACTATCCAGCTCTCGCCCGTTAGACCATCGATTCATGTTTTGTCTTATTGGGTGTCTTCTCCGTCAACGACTCTCATCCGGTTGCGCGTGGGCTGGCAGTGGCCGTGCTCAGTCCGCAGGGAGGCATACTGTTTTGCGCACAAGTTGTGTACACAAAAGTTTTTTTCGATCTATTTTTTCGCTTGAATGTAGAGGGCTTGTTCCTTCGTCCCAAGAAAGACTTTTTCGACACATCGAGTTCACAGCGACGCGCCTCCCTGCCTGTTGAGTTTTTTTTTTTTTTTTCTCCCATCATTGGACTCTGTCGTCTGCCCCTCTGGCCCCTATCCTCCACTTCCACGCGCTAGACGACCCAACCGGGGTCACACAGGAGGGGGGGGTTGGACCCCCTCCTGCGGTTCCTGCCTGAGATATTTTTATCGCGAGAAGGGTACAGCAATCCCTTCCCTCGCGACCTACGAAGTCGATTAATGTTTACTAACAACGAGCTTTGCAGCGAGTCGCTTTCATCCTCGACCAGGATTTATTTAGTGAGAAAAAACTCACTCTGCCGGGACTCGAACCCATGACCTGGCCCTTAGCAGGCTGCGAGGGTACCCACTAGACCACCGGGGCGACCGAGTATGTCCACCGCTGAACCACGCACACCCGGATGAGAGCCGTTGATGGAGAAGACGCCCAAGAAGACAAAACATGAATCGATGGCCTAGAGGACGAGAGCTGGATAGTTTTGTACTCACGTCTCCTCTCAAGCAGCCGACTTTTTGCCTTTCGGAGGCACATACCACGTTTTCTCCGTGCCCTCTAAACCACCCCTGTCTGTTTGTTTTTTTGTGCACGCTTGGTGAGCTCCCGCCATGTATCAGCTGGCAAACCGTTGACACGGGGACTCTAGGGTTGTCCGGATCCCTCTATGAGCTTGCTATGTTGAGTGTGTGCTGCGTAGTGGTTGGTGTTTAGGACGGAAGGGGCGGTCGGCTAGTAATCTCGCCGCTCGTGGAAAAGATTTTCCCGACCTACCCAATTTCAAGATGTTTGTCAAAACATGTTGTCGAACGAGCGACTTTTGCCCCATTTAAAAATCTTTGGGAAGATTTTGCCAAAAAATTTCTCCCATAAAAAGTGAAACATATTCTTCTTACGCAAATCGTTGAAAATTTCAAGATTTTCGCAAAGATTTGTCGACCGTTAACACGGGTCTAAGACCACTGTTTATGGCAAAAAAATCTTGATCTTCCTTTCTTTCGACAAATGTTGACTTTTTCGACCTTTTGGGCAGTCTGCCTCCCGAACGAGTTCGAATCAGCTGTTCGACCTTTGAGAACAGTCACAGCTTTGGCTGAGATGTCTACAGATCGCCTACATGTTTCGCCAGGGTTCACGTTTGATTTTTTTCCTGCAGAGCAACATGTTGAAGATTCGGCCGAAAGGCCACCTCGGAGCAAATCTTGGGCCAAGATCTGCCCAAAAGCTGGTGTTGGAGAAATCTTGCGTGAAAATTGCGCACCTTGAAAAAATCAAACGTGGACCCTGGCGAAACATGTAGGCGATCTGTAGACATCTCAGCCAAAGCCGTGACTGTTCTCAAAGGTCGAACAGCTGATTCGAACTCGTTCGGGAGGCAGACTGCCCAAAAGGTCGAAAAAGTCAACATTTGTCGAAAGAAAGGAAGATCAAGATTTTTTTGCCATAAACAGTGGTCTAACGACGTTATTTTTCTTTGCTCGTGGTTGGGTCCGGGGGGGGTGGGTCGGACGGCGCTTACAGCGTACGTCACTTGGTGATGGAAATCGCTGCTACCTTCGTTTGTGCTAGACCCTACCCCCCTGGTTGGCGTGATTATTTTTCACCCCGTCCCGTAGTACTAGCGGCATACATGTTTTCCTGCTGCTTGGTGTACCGCGCCATGATATATTTGCTACGGTTGTTGTGCTGCTCTCCAGCGACCGAGGGGATCGAGGCGTACACGGTGGGGCTGATCCGTGCCACCGACTTCGCCAAGTATTCGGCGGCGATGGTTGGGGCTACGGATCCCACCGATGGGGACGACATAAAGATGGCGGGAGGGTTTGCTTCCATCGTATTCGACCAGGAATCTGGTGAGCCGGAAGGAAAGGTTTCCATGCATGTGTGCATTTTCCTTGCATTCAGGAAGGGGGTTTGGGGGAGGAAGTGTCAAGAGGAGAAGCCACCGTTTCACCCAGGCCTCCCGCACGCGAATGTGAAGTGCCTGGTAAGCTGCTCCGGTAGGACCAACGAACGGTGACGCTAATGAAGCAAGACCTAGCACCATACAGGTGTGGAATAATCAATGTTGCACGGTGTGGTATGCAAGGATAATTCTACCCGCTCTAGCCACACGAAAGTTTACTCCACCCCGTTTTACCGAATCGGCACCTTCCCGGACAAAATCATAAACCAGGCAATTACGAGAGCAATTTGGAGATGTGGCACGACGGAAGCCTGCTCTCGATTTCCTCTGCGGTCTCGACCGCCTCGGGGGCCCGCCTGATGGGCTCTGCCGTTGAGGAGGGGTACCTGTTGTGCCGCCCACCCCCTTGCCCGTTGGACAGCCAGGAGGTAGCGACGGATGGGACGACATGTTCGTGGGGACCACCCCCCCCGCCGGCGGTAGAAGAAGAGGCCGAAGACCCAGAGTAGTCTATTAAAGTGTGTTTTTTTCAGCTCCTCCCTTTCTCTGTCAAGCGGGTGTGTCGTTTACAGTGGTCCATGGTCCTGGCAGCGGATGTATTTGCTGGGCAGCGAGCTGGGTTTTGTCTTGGACCAATGGCGATGGCCCTCGTGAAGCATGCAAGAGGTTGGCGGTGACGTTCCTCTAGCCAGCCCTCCCCCCCCTTCCCAAGGTAGCTACAGGGGAAGACGGCAAACACACCCAAGGTGGAGCATTGTAGATCTGGTTGGACAGTTTTCGGCCCATTGATGATGTACTGCTTGACCTGCAAGTTTGAGGGGCCGGCGGTGTCATCAGCAGAGATTGCGACCCTTGTAGCTTCGTAGCTGTCGTGTAGCGTTCGTTCTTGGAGGAAAGCCGAACGCTTTTTGTTTGGGGGGGTGGAACAGATAATAATTAGTGTGCTTGAGAAAGAAATGAGAAAGCCGAACGCGTTTGTTTTTTTGGGGGGAGGGGAACCAGATAATGGTGTGTTGTGCTTGTTGTCATACCATCTCTTGGCTGTGGTTGATCGAAGTGAATCTCGGTGTGAGTGTTCCAGACGCACGCACAATGCCTAGAGTGGGCATTGGGTTGTTTGTTTAACGTTTTTTCCCTCCTGATTTACGTAGGCATGAGAGTGCAGGAGGCAATAAACCGAGAGGGAGCTTTCGGTTCGATCTGAGTCAAAGAAATATGCGGTTGGTTTTGTGTGCAGGTGTATGATGTAGATACCTGAGGTGCTTGCAGTGCTTTTGTAGTTCGTGCCATCCCAGAGGCCAAGAGAAACGGCGGTGACCCTCGACTGCAAAGAGACTTCAAAAACGCTCACTGGTGGTGTAATAGCCCCGAGTAAAGAGCTGTACAACCGAAGTACTCCTAACACATGATGAGAGACACGATTGGTTGATGTGCCATGCTAGATGAATCACGATCGATATCCCATCAATGTATTTTCGGGGTCAATCCGCTGTCGCTCCTGGCGTCACGGCGAAGAGGAACTGGCGCCATGGCGAAGAGGAAAGGTACTGCTGTCTTTTCATTGAAAAAAAAAAACGCATTGAGACGTCTGCTTAAATACATGAATGCGGGTGCTTCGATGGTTCTGCTGATCTTCGGCAACTAACCAGTCGTCGCTTCGATGGCTGGTGACTTTGCACGGCAATAAGAGCAGCGCGGGCAATCTTGAGCTCCACGAAGGCTCTGGACGCCTTTTCTCTTCCTCTTGTATGGCATGCTTGTCCGCGGCAGAAGTTCCCACACAACGTGAACCTTGGCGTATGGCGTGCTGCTATTATGCATAGACCGGAGAAATGGGCACCGTCAAAACCGCTCATGGGTGTCAGTTGTTGTTGCGATGCAGACAACCGCAAGCAGCTCGCAGCCTCGTTTTAACATCATCAAGCCTGTCATGTCACGGTCGGGGTAATCGTTCCCATCCATCACCCAAGCCTTATATTATACTACACCACACGCACACATGGATATACTTTCAGACGTCCAAAGTACAAGGGGATGGCACACGCACAACACGACGGGCGACCCGAGCACGTCTCCGCCACGCGGAAGCTGTGAACCGTGCTCCCGAAAGTCAATTCATCTTCGGATTGCGAAGAGAAAATAGATTCTCAACGTCTGCTTGCAGATTTCAAGTTGGGGCCACAGCCAAACATTAACATGCCGTCAGCTATGTATCGCCAGTTGCAGCAGCAGCATCGAGAGGCACAACGCACTCTCACCGGCGTATTCCGAACTTTTTGCACGCCGGTAACTCACGTGACCTAGTAGTTTCCACTAAAGTTGAACGTCAAACACACAACAAGTCGTCATCCAATCAAAGCTCGAACACACGCTACTTCAATTAGTCATCGAGAAAAGCACTGAATTGTCCCAAAGTGAACCCGTCAACACAGACAATCCCCGACCGACAACTGAGCACTCGTTCCCTCTACTAAAATGATACTAACATCCCCATCGAACCAACCATTCCTTCACTTCGTTTACGGCTCTGGCCCCGCTTGCCGCAAATGTGACCCTGACGGGGGCGGGGGACATCTTGCGCCGATCCCCGGGTTTCACGGGTCCACCGCATGCACACCTCTCACACTCACATGGTACATATACATGCATTCGGTAATATTTTGGTTCTTATCTCTGCACGTTGATCCTAGCCCCGCGGCCATTCTGTAGCTGGCCAAAAAAAACACTCTTGACAGGGACACTGGAAAGTATCAACACCACAGCATGTGAAACGAATTGCCCTATTGTAAACCTTGTCTACATTGCGTGCAGAATGGCGGAATGGAACCACAACCTTCCAAGGGTCCATTTGGGGGAGAACCTTTCCTTGATCTAAACCTTCCTTCCTTCCTTCCTGACAAAGCGACAAAATACAACCCCGCTCGTAGACCTTGCTTCAACAACTAGCCGTTCGCGCGCTGCAAAAATAAACAACCCCCGTCTTTAGGCATCTCGAGCTTGGTCCCATGGGTGCTTCGCTCACACAGTGCTGGCTGGCTCCCCACCGAAAAGAGAGAGAGGGCTCGTCTACCGCGGAGTATAACTCGGCATGTTTGAGCTGGGGTGGGGGAACGGCGGAAACATCGGCTGCTGCGCCTGCTGCCCGCCGGGGGGAACCCCCGCTGGGGGCTGTGGACCGTTCATGACTTGTTGAGGCATAGGCGGAGGGCCGCTAAGGACTTGCTGAGGAATAGGCGGAGGGCCATTAGCGACTTGCTGAGGCATAGGCCGCGGGACGTTCATGACTTGCTGAGGCACAGGCGGGGGACCGTTAATGACTTGCTGAGGCATTGTAGGCGGCCCCTGCGGAGCGTACGGTGGTCGCCCACTCCCGCCGCTCACGTTCACGGTTCCTCCTCCTCCTCCTTGCTGGGGTGGCGGTGCCACCATGTGAGGAGGCGCGTGCTGAACGGCGTACTGCTGTTGCTGCTGGAACTGCGGTGGTGGCACTTGCTGAAATCGGGGCTGCTGCTGCTGCTGCTGCTGCTGCTGCTGCTGGATATGTGGAGAAGGGTTCGGCGTACGCTGCTGCTGAGGCGAAAACCCCAGGGCAGGCAAAGGACCTGGCGTGGGCGGACCAACCAAGCCTTGGCTGTGAAACCCACCGGGGGGTTGAGGAGCATACGCCGTCTGCTGCGGAGGCGGCGGCATCCCTCCGCTGCCCGAGAAAACACCACCATCGCCGCGCGGCTGCCGGGCGGCGCCCTCAGAGGCGCACCCCCTCCCACGGCCGCCGCCCCGTCTGCCGGTCCCCCTTCCTCCACTCGGACCGTAGTGCCCCGCAGCCCCCCTTCCTCCACTCGGACCGTAGTGCCCCGCAGCCCCCCTTCCGCCACTCGGACCGTAGTGCCCCGCAGCCCCCCTTCCTCCACTAGGGCCGTAGTGTCCCGCGACATCCTCGTTTTGGCGACCGTTCTTACGCCCCCCTCTCCCACCACCACCACCACCACCACCACCACGGGGCCCCTCCCC